TCTGATAATTTTGTGTATTGCTTGACTTGCATTGATCACTATACTGGTTGGATGGAAGCCATTCCTTTGTGTTGTATAACAGCAGAAACCGTTACCAGAGCATTTAATGAAAATTGGATCACTCGTTTTTTAGTTCCTTACCAAGTTATTACGGATGGTGGAGCACAGTTTACTTCTGAACTATTTTTGAACCTTGGCAATTATATGTGGAATCAAAATTCAACACACAACTTCCTATCATCCACAGTGTAACGGCAAAATTGAGAGATTTCATCACTTTCAAAGCTGCTATCAAATGTCATAATTTCATTAAGTGATTTGAATCCATTCCAACAATTCTTCTAGGTCTTAGGGCAGCTTTGGAAGAAGACTCTGGATATTCCATTGCACAAATGGTTTACGGGAAAATAATCAAAATTCCAGGAGAATTTTTTGATAAACCGACAGTTTCTATAATCTCAAACATTTTTGCATAAATTGCAAAAACAAATGGAATTGTTCAAGCCTTCTGCGGTAGAGCGAAAAATGATTCCTAAAGTTTTTGTCCATAAAAATCTGAATGTGCATACTCACGTTTACCTAAGAACTGATAGAATCAAGAAACCATTAGAACGTATTATGAAGGACCCTTCAAAGTATTTAAAAGAGTGGAAAAATACTTCTTGTTACAAATCAAAGTAAGGAAGTAAACATTTCGACTGACAGGCTGAAGCCAGTCTATTGTTTAACATCAGTTGAGTAAAGGCTGGAACCAGAAACTTCTGATACCCAGCCCAAGACTCTGTTAAAATCTGAGACAAATGATGAACGAGTAATAAAACGTTCTTTGCATTTTAGTAACAATGTTGAATATTTTTTCTAACCTCTATTATTGAATATGTTTAATTGTAATTGTATTTATTTATTGGATTTATTATTTTTAATTCTAATGTCAGCTTAAGCTATATTACTCCACTACTAGAATCTCTTAAATTGTAACACAGTTACTGGAGGGGGAGTAATGTAGTAGAACATAATTTAATGTTTCTATATAATTATTAAGATTTCCTATGTGGAAATATGATGTAATGTTATGAATAAGTTATTAAGATTCGCCATGTGGTAACGAGTTGAGCTAAAAATGTTGTTACTTGGAGTGTTCCATGATAAGTTGTTGCATAAACTTTATTTCTTAAAAGTTTGTTATATATTTTTATGTAAAAAATAAGTAACATGTTGCAAACAAGAATGGTAATTGTAAAAATAAATATACTGTTTCTTTTAAGACCAAAATAAGTATTTATTTCAGTTATGAAATACTCTGGCTGATCAGTTTCGATTTCGCTTATTCATCAAATCCACAAATCTATATGAATGTATGTATGTTGTTCACTGTTGGAATAAGTTGATAAAGTCCTAAGCTGTTATTGATACCATATGTTCATGAATACCACTTGCAGGTGTTTTTGATCATTTTAATCAGAAAAATCAAGGTGCGCTGCTTACTCAAAACAAAGCAATGTAGGCCAGGTAAATGCAAATTGTTTGGCATAAATTATTTCTTTTCAAAACTACGGTATCCCCAGAAAATATGTTATATGATGCTACTGTACCCTCTCAAATAATAAATTCTGGCCTGGGATTTGCAGAGGATATACCGGTACTGTCACCAAACTGTTAATTCTCTGAACAGTTCTTGCTGAACTTGGCTTCTTAGTCATATAACACTGGCAGCAGCACGGAAAAGAATGTACATGAAATGGATGGCCGCAGAAATCATGCACTGACACCAACTGGTCGCATCAAGAAGCCCAAAATAACTCGAATCTGTGGATGGATCAAAGCCTCCTGGGATGAAATTTCACAAAAACTTGTTGTTAAGAGCTTCAAAAAGTGCAGAATATCAAATAACATGGAGTGAAGTGAGGATTAAAGCAGTGTGGAATGATGAAGAAGAGAACACCGGCAGTTCGGAAAGCATCAGTGATGATAATAGCATACAAGGCAAGAAAGATAGATAAGCTACATTGTGTTTCCAGACTAAAAAAAGTGGGATGTTGTGGTAAAGTGCCATGATGTGGGAAGTTATATGCTTTTGTTAGATTACTGGTAGATTTTAAAGGATTACTCGGGGCATTTAAATCCATATTTAGTGCAGTGATTGTTGCCGACTGAAGCTATTGTTTAACAAATAAAGTGTTATATAATATACTTAGATTGGAAGTTTTTCTTTCTGCTGTAGAATTAAATTCTGCTAACCAATTTATTCCTTCCCATTCAAATGTTACAGGGCATGTGTTGCTATGTACTTAGGCAGGAACTGCAAAAACTGCAGGTGGTAGCTCAGATTTCTTTCCCGATAACCATCGATTGGTATCAGATTTCTTTGTTTCTTTATGCTTGTAATCCAGAAAAAAGATTTTTTCTGTAAGTTAAGCTTTCATTGGGTTTGAAGAAAATATGCATGCCATTATTCATAGACATTTTTTGGGGGGGGCACCGAAAGAATTGGGTGTGTGTCTTATTTGGTGGCGCATGGTATTTGTGAACATATGGTATATTTTTTCATTTTCTTGCATATGAATTGTTTGCAATATTTCTTCTAATATAATTAATCATAGTTGTTTAGTTTTATTATTAGAACATTTGGTTGTGTTTTAAAGTTATTTTAAGGTTAAATAAACAAGAAGTTATGAAACTAATTGCAAAAATATTATTTGAATGCGAAAGTATCAGTCAGAAAGAGGAATTATATTATTTGAATACAGTAGTATGAATCAGAAAAAAGGAATTGTTTATAATTGGTAGGCCTCATGTTTTATACTTTTATAGTTTTTAATTGTAGATTTTAGTTTCAGAAAGACTTTCGCACCCTTATTAGATATGCAGATTTACATAGCATATTATGAGTTAGGAAATTATCCCTACTTTTAAATAATAAAAAATCTATATTTTGTAGCATTGTGGAAAAATAGAATTTGAATACATCTACTCCTCCACCCAAATACGTGCACCCTAAAGTAGTAATTTTGAATTTTTGATTAATTTCATTTTTATACAAATTTTTTATTAACAAACTCAGTGATTTAAAAGCAAGCAGGGATAATATTGTTTGAAATTAAACATTTTTATCCCTGGTAAGCCAGAGGGCTGCCAGTCGGCAAAGTAAAAGCTATTTATATTTCAATTTTAATCCTATCAGCCATTGGCATGGGGGGTCAACTGTTTAATAGCAATGTGTTACCACTGCCAGAAATAAAATGCTTTTATCTTCAGTGCACCAGCATGTGAAGTGTAAGGTTTTAATCTGTGTGTTATTGAGTAATAAATCAAAGCTAACTGTAAAAGTATAAAATGCAGTTCTTAGTAATTTTCTAATTTTAATTTGATTGATTTAACTAAAAATGCATTTAAATCAGAAAATGTGTAATTAAAAATATTAAATACTTTTTATAAAATTACATTAACTAGACTTAAAATCATTATATATTTTTTCCATTTTATGACAACTATTTTAGGTGGCTGACCGTGCAAATGGTGATATTAAAAAAGTACCACTTTCAAAAGTGAAAGATGGAACCATATTCTTTGTAGTGGATTTTTCCCCTCTTTTCATCCCTCCAACCTTCTTAATTAGGTTTTGCCAGGAAAATACCAAATTGCCAATTGTTCTTCTGTCAATGGTTTGCATGCATATGTTTATCATCTTAAAGATTTTTGAAATGCTTATATTTTACCTGTAATTATATTTTTCTCAATATAAATTTACACTAATCACAAGATTGTTTTTGCTGGTCCATCAGGAAACAGCCACGTAGTTGGAATTTCATTCTTGAAACTGAGATTGTTGTAAAGCTTGTAGTTTTCAACTCAACCTTGCTGCTGCTGCAGCATTTTTTGCGCAGATTGAAATGGGGATAATTTGTTAAACGATGACAGGTTTTGCATGTCTGTCATCGTTTAACAAATTATCCCCTGCATAAAATGCTAAAGCATTAGAAGTTTTCTTAGCCAGTTATTTGGTTATCTTAGAAGTATGTTTCTATGATATCTGGGCCAGTATCTAGCAAAAAATATTTTCTCAGAACAAGGTCTGATATTAGAACTTTCGATTGAACTTTAGTTTACTTTAATAGTAGAACTTTTGATCTGTCAAAATGATAGATTATTCATCTTGAAATACATGTATATTATCATTGAAAATTCCAGTATTAAATGTAGATTAATTTTTCATAATCATCAAAAGGTATATTTTTGTTTTCTTCTGATTTCTAGTCATCTCTTCAATCGCTTCATCAGTTATTACTCATTAGTGTATTATTTTAGTTATTCATTTAATTTTGTTCAAATAACATTTTTCTCTCATGGTGTAATAATATGTCATCAACACTGTTTTGCTAACAAGACTGAATAGCTTTTGGCACATAATAAACCTTTTAGGTTATGCACCAGAAAATCTGCAATCCAATCCAATTCATAAAATTTTAAGCACTTTTTGTAAAAATCTTGTATTTTTTAAAAATGAAGATAAGTGTTACATTGTCTTGCATATCAAGCATTTTCTATGCAAAATCTAAGTCTATCATTGCCTTTGTGGTGTATTAATTAAATTAATGCTTTAAGTCATTTAAGAAGTAGAAGAATTAATTTCTTGATAAAATTTTTAAATGATTTTATATGTGTAGAATTTTATGTGTTTATGTTTTGAAAAATGTAATCAACAAATTAAATCGTGTCTTGTAGCTACATATGAATGAATGCACCAATAAAAATTCAGAAAGTGGTTTTGCCAATTTTTTATTCTCTATTTTAACTTAAAACTGGTACTATTCTGTTATGTTCATACCTGGAAAAAAAAATTTAGAGCATGTATTTACTTGGGTGCATGAAAATAATTTAGCTCCATGTACTAAAGTTTACTCAGTTGAATTCATTGGAGGTTAAGTATTACTGTATAGTGTGTATACATATATTAAATAAGTAGTAATGCCACTTATATTTCACTTTCACATTTTCCTTAGGTCAATTAACATTTGATTCTGGTGATATAAATGAAGCTGAACAGGAGAAAGAAAATATATTTTCTAAATTTGAAAAATCCACCCCTCAAACGTTCTATAACTGCTTTATCAGATGTAATACTGGACCAGCCCTTGAATGAAAAGAGAATAAATATTCAAGATATTTTAAAATTGAAAAAGAAAATGAATTCTTGTGAAAACTCAGACATTATTGTCCTGCCATTTGAGGAACTGAATGATGAAAATAGTAATAAACTTGAAACTGATGCCTCATGTCCAAAATCTGTTTTTGGTTCATCTAGTAAACGTTGCTATGAAACTTCTGATGATGAAGATATTGATTTTCAGAAATGTAAAAAATGGATCAAATTAAATCATTTGAAAGATGCTGATAAAAAGGAAACAACCCCTTTTCTGTGCGAAATTTGCAAAAGCAATTTGGAAGATTTAAATTTTGAAGAACGTTCAATTCACGTGAATCGGTAAGTGATCATTTTATTTATTAAAATGAAATTCTGTATTATTATAATTCAAATTATGACTAATCTTCAGTTAGCAGAAATGGTTGGCTTTAGGAATGTTTGGGACGTTAAGACATCAGTAACAATTTTCTCTTTTCGTTATCGAAGCAGGCTCTCTTACCATATTTTATTGATTATTATCTTTTTAATCATGGCCATTTAAGAAAGGGAATGATGAAATTAGAAAATCTTAGAATTATTTATTTATATTTCACTAAAAGTTGCCATCTTTATACTCTCAGCTGAAGGTAGACTCTGCTTGTGTATGCATTTCACTTTTTTTTAATAATGCAGTATTTATGTGGGCAAATTAAAATATAACCGGGATTGCTGTTGCAAACTACACCCCATGCACAGTGTAACCATGTGTGTCTGTTGTGTAGATTCAACAGAAATCATAGTAATTGATGCCCTTCAAAGATTCTCCTTCACTGTAGGTAACATCAAAAGGCACATATTGGGCAACAGACTCTAATTCTTATGATAGGATTCTTGATATTGTGGCACTCAGCATGATTGTCCTTGCATTTGATGGTTTGATAAAGCCAGTGCAGTCATTCCTGTCAATTGTTTCTACCTCCTTGCAACAACTGATTTTATATTCACATCTATGTGGCTTGATTTCATCCAAAATTAGCACCAATTTTTCAAATCTTGAATTTTTTCAATCTGTGAGCATTTTAAACCATAGTTCTTCTAGCAAACTCAGAACTGCCTCAAGTGAATGCCATTTAAAAATTCTGCCATAACATATACTAGAATTATGTAATCTGAGCAGAGAAGACTGTATTTAAACATCCACTTCAATCAAGGTCACTTTGTATCAACAAAAGCAAACTAATTAGAAGAAAATAGGCTTCAGTTTGAAAATGGAATATGTTTAGAAGTTTCAGATTTCTTAATTCATGTTATTTAATTATTTGCATATACTTCTTATTTCATTTCTATACAATTCAATTTTTTTCAATTATTACGTAATTTAGTTTCAATAACTGCAGACATCTTATATAAAATTATGAAATTCAAAACTTGAATTACGTTATGAAGGCCTTTGCAGTTATTTAACAAAATATGAATGCTGTATTTGCCTTTTGTAATCAAAACTTAAGAATTGTGAATATTTTATTAGCATTTTGTTTACTTTTGGTTAATTAAATATATTCCATAATAAAAGGAATGCTGGTCTGTGTGGTAAAAGTTAAAGTTAAAATATTTTATTGGTATTTTGATTTTGATTTTGAGAAAAGTAATTTCTTTACATTCAGGACTGGAGACAGCTTGTTTTGAAATCTTCCGATAAAGTATTGGTGTAAATAAGCGTATGTTTAAACTGTTTAATGTCATTAAAAATTGACAACCACCTTTTTATTTTAGATGTATTGATGAGCAGTCAGAATCTGGATTTTCAACTGTTACAGAATCATCATCATCAGATACAGTTTTTATATTAGAGTGTCCTTTATGCTTCAAAAATTTTTCAACTCCTGAAGTAAGTTTATGATAGAAAATGTTTTAAATTTGTATATTGCAACTGAGCTACTAGAGTATTATAAAATACAGTAGTGGGGGGGAATTAAAGGGAAAACTTTAAGAAAGATGCTTCATTTAATTCTAGGAAGTCCAATGAAAGGTGGTTGGTTGCTCAAAATCAGCATTATCATGTAATCCAATGGGATTAACCTTTGCTACATAGAAATATGCAAAATTTTGTTCCCCTTCTTTCAGCATGTATAGAAGAAATGAGTGCAAAAAGATGCTATAAATTCTAATTTCAAGTACGAGTTATTAGATAAAATTTTCGTGTGTAGAAAGTGGAATGCACATTTTTTTAGAAGTGGAAAGTTGTCGGCTTTTGAAAAATTGTGAGAGATGGAATGTGATTGGGAGAATAAGAGTAGGACAGACACTGATACAGAGTCTGTAATGATCTAAAAATAGCCAAAAGCTTCATGTCAGAAATCAGAAAACAGTTTAAATACATTGATGATGTATGCAAATATCCAGGTAAAGATCACAAACATGCCCCAACACACACTTAGGACAGCTATTTGGGAGCAGTTGCCAAAAGAATAGATAACTAATGTCAATCCAGATTGCAAAATAGCTCTTTCATAAAAGAGGGCTGTATATAAGATAAACTATAATTTGTATTCCACTAATTTGGGATGCAAAATGCATTCAATTGCAGTGGAGCACAGATCATCATGATTGGAATGCCAGAAACAAAATTTAAATTCTGTTTACTAATAAGTCATATTTTTGTTTGGAAAGTGGTTACAGATGTATTACAAGCTAAGGAGAACAAAACATGTGTAATAAACTTGAAAACATCCATGAAAGACATCAGTACTAAGGAGGTGGGATCATGATGTGATCAGACATCATTCTGAAATATCCCATTGATCTACACATTTTTTACTATAAATGGTAAAATATACAGACATTAGTCTCTTGATCATTATTTACTCCATTTAAAGGTACAATAGATAATAAGTTCCTTCTAGTGGACGATCATGCATGTCTCCATCATGCTGCGCTAGTAACAAATTATTTTTAGGGTAAAGAAATACATTGGGTGGAATGGAGAGTGAATGAAGAGCAGAAAGAATTGAACGAGTAATGGGATAAGGTGAATCAATTCATTCGAACTACTAACTCTTCTGTAAAACCTCCCTTTTGCCTAGAACTAACAATAAAATTCTAAAGCAATGAAAAATGTTTAAAAAGTTTGAAAATGGTAAAAATTAAATTTATTTTTAACATGGAAAGAGCATCATTCCTTTTTCCCTTAAAATGGAAATCGTACTTTCCTGGCACACTTTCAACAAAAGCTCTCAATATGTAAACTTTAAGGGCTCATTAGCAGTTAATTCTCTATGATCCCAGCAGCGCTAACCAATGTATAAAACTTTGATGTAATTGAGCTAGCCCATTCACTTTCCCTTGAACTTTTGACAAGTATCAGCTCCTGATAGCCAATAAGCTAGATGGAGATTTTCCACTTGCTATATTATAGAATATTTTCTATAGATATGATATTTAATTATCATGTAATGCAGGAAAGTTATGTATTATTTAAAAGAAAATTATAGTAGATAATAAATTTGTTTGATTATTGGTATTTTTATTCCTTAACTCACAATCTACTTTATTATTATTATTTTTACTCCTACATTCAGCATGATTTAAGATTAAATGCATTCCCAAAAAATTAAAAGAATGAAAATTATTATATTCATTCATTAGTTATACTTTGCTTAAAATTTAATTACGTACTTTATAATTTGCAGTAAGTTTAATTATTTTTATGGGTACTATTCGGTTTCGAGGGCCGTAAAAAATCGCCAAACTATTGTTGATGCCAATGCTGCCAAAAATAATTGCGGCAAGAAAGGAAGTATAATAGTAAATAACTATTTAAGATTGATGTTTTAATTTAGATGAAGAGTTAATTTCATATAGTTATACTTTTTTATTATTATAATTTATACGAAAAAGGCTAAACATGGTTGAATGGAAGCATAAGAGTAAATTATTTCAGATCATTATTATAATTTATATAAAAGTTGCTAAACATAACTGAATTGATGCCTGCATCGCTATTTTGCTATCGACTTACCGCTAAAGCATAATTTCATCTCGTTGGTTGTTCAAACGTAATTTTCTATAATGAATGATGCCTTTTCTTTGAAAATATTCTCGGTAAAGTGCAGAATCGCTCACTTATTTGTTTGCCGCTTTTTACAAGGGTAAAAACAATTGGATTTTTGTCAATATTCTGTTACTTTTTAAGTGAAAATAGGTCGATGTGTACATAGATAAAATCAAGGGTGTGCGCTGTGCCATTTTGTGCAATTCTAGGATTTTTTTTAAGTGAAAATAGGTCGATGTGCACATAGACACCGAGTATGTGCAATTCTTAAAAACGCGTCAAGCAGTCGGTGATTCTGCACTTTACCCAAAATTCTATTGCCGAGTTTTCGTCATGGGCAATTCCCAAATTGTTAAATCCATAGGATATCAAAAAAGGATTTAAAAATTAAACTAGTATTTCAACGGCGTCTTAAGAAATATAGAACTATATAAACTTACGCAATGTGAAACCAGCGCGTATGCTAGATTTCGCGTGCTGTTAAATGGGCATGTTTGCTAGATTTGGCGCTTTTGCGCATGCATTTTCGCTGCAATTTTCTACGATCTCTCTCTTCTCTCTCTTTCTACTCTCTTCATCTGAAAAATTTAATTTAGTTGAATTTTTGCTATTGTCATCTTTTAATAATGCTTTCCTTTCATTTAAAATGTTTATAACCTCGTCTGCTGCCTCTACATCTTCATCTCTTAAAAAAGAGAAATTTTTTTAGAAAATATGATAAAGAGCATGTGTGTTAAAGTACCAAACTTTATCAATTTAAATGTGTGAAGTAAACAAACATAAAAAGGCAGCTGTAGTATAAAGGAAATTAAGCCTGGAATAAATTTATAAATATAAATCTTATCTGTCTTGTCGTCATTCCGTATGAACTGAGTTTAAGACTGAGAACTGTTTAGCCAAGAAGATAAATTCAGTGAGCTTAAAGCTCACCCTGTAAATTTGCTCTTCTTTTCTTGCATTTTGTGTGTGCTACTAATATATGTAAATTTCATGCTTATTTATAATGTAACAAAATTGGCTTATTGACTTGAGGTTCATTAGCTTGATTTGTTGTGGTGAGTCTGAAGAACTTATGGAAGGCTCGCTGCTGAAGACTTCAGGACAGGTCATTGCACAGAGAATCCACTAACTGTCCCAGAAAAACAGATTGTGAAAACACAAATCCTTGAATTAGTTGCTGTAGACCACACAGACAAGCAGATTGCTGTCTATAATAGCTGAACACCAGTTATGAGTGGTTATTGCTAATCAGCTCCTTTCATAAGAAAACGTGCTGCCTTTGATTCACATTTTTATAGATACTCTGTTAGAACATCCAATTGCAGGATTCTTACAAAACACTCTTATTGTACTGCCTCTTTCCATTTTACTTTCTGGTAACTCCTGGCTTTGGCCAGATGCCCTTCATCTAAACCAGCCTGTATAGTTGTACCGATTGACATAAACTGATTAGTCATTGATACATTGCAGGTACAGTTTTTTTTTTTTTTTTTTTTTTGTTTAAAAGTTAGATAAATAATTTCTTGTCTTTCTAAACATATAAATATCATTAATGAAGTTTAATTTTAAATTTTGTAACATAAAATCTCCAATTTAAAAAACTGATAGGTTTTTTAGTCTCCTCACTAGGTGGCTGGCCTATTTAAACTTGGGGTACTGCCTGAGTGGTGGTTAAAAACCCTCGTGTCGAATTTTGCTTCTTGCAGAAATTTAAATGATTGCAGTATCATTTTGGATCAAGAATTCCATGTAATTTAATTTTGGGCAGAAAGTAATTGGTTCACTAATCCTCAAGTATTTCAAAACTATTGTGAAATATAAAAATTAGCATGGAATTTGATTTGGGTGAAGTCTTGTATAAAACTGAACAGATCAAACATATCTGGTATTAAAAACTTGAAAAATTAAAATTTAGCTTATTTACCAAATATTAAAACTTTTTGTCTGAAAAATATTGCTGTGAATAGAAAATCATAGAGATAGGCTATTTATACAACTATCAAAAGTAGCTGCATAAAATATTTACGAATTATTGTATGTTATGTTTAAAAGAATATACTTTATATATCATTTTGTTGAATGTTTATTATTTTTTCTGGAAGTAAGGAAATTTATGTTCCTGTCATATTTTGAGTATTTTATTTTTATTGCAGTACTCTTCCATAATTATATAGCTGATTTTATGTTTAATTTCCAACAGGAAAAAAATTGTTTATACATATTAAATTTTCAGCATCTTATCTAAGCTAAAAATCTGAGATAAAAATTATATGTAATACCTTGCATGTTTTAAAAACTTATTTGATATGAGTTTCAAAGAGTATTCAGTAGCATGAAATGTTGTTTCTTCCCATAAATATAAAATACAAATATTTATGATAACAGTTAAGAATTTACTGTTAGTTGAAAGCTAGAAGAGAATTCTTATCTGTTGTGTTAATGAATTGAAAAAACAACTTTAAACTGAATATTTTCTCGTAAACTGTTTTAATATTACATTGGTATTTTTGAGAGCTTAAAATGTATAATTTAATTGCAGTATTGATCAAAATTCTTTATATCTGTGAGATGTCATTTGACTGAATGTAAAATTAAATAAATACTTACATACAGTACAAAGTCTGTAATCCTGATATCCATTATCCGGAATGATCTATAATCCGAACCTCAAAGCCACAAACTTTTTTTTTGTATGCTTTACACATATGTGTTGGGAGGATGTGTGTCCAGATACATTAAAATAAAATTTATGGCCAGCTACCATATTTCATGGTGAGGACGATGAAGATGATAACCGGGAATTTGAAGGTTTTTGGACATCGCAAACTAATGGTGAAATTTTCCAGTTATTGGATTTTGTAAAGAAATGTGAAGAAGCGGTAATAAATGAAGATGATATAACAGCAGTTTTTCATTGCGACGACAATGCCCCAATCATCAATCAATTAATGGACGGCGAAATCTGTAATATCCAGAAAATACTCCTTCCGATAGGTGAAACTTTGTAACTAAACAAGAAATTATGTCTGTTTATGGAATTAAAGAGAAAGTATTAGCACAAAAAACGGAGCAACTTAAACAATTTACATTGAAAGAAATGTTTAATAAAGTAAACAAATAAATATAAAGTTTTTTTTTTCTAAATTTTGATACCCTTTAGATCATAATTGCTCTTTATTTCATAAATCATGGTTTCATATTTTTAATTGTATAATTTCTGCGGGTGTACTCCAGCTGCGCGAATGAAAATTCCCTCCCCCCGGTCCTGCTATAGTCCAACTGCGCGAATCAAAATTTCTTGCCCCTGTTGCCTACAGGGTTACAATTTAACTTTTTGAAGCCAATTGTAGCCAAGAGGAAAATAAAAATAAAGAAATAGAATTACATATTACAAGAACAAGTAAAAAGTATCTAACAAGCAGGCTAATTACTTGAATAACAGCAATAAATGTGAGAGCTAACACAGAAAATAAAAGGTACTGGTAAACATGCCTGTTAGCATTAGAAACATTTTTCATTTATTATAATAATATCATAAAGTAAATAATTATAAAGCATACCAATTGTATTTTTTATAAATTACATCAATAGTAGTCAAGATGTCTGAACTAGACTGAAAAATTTAATAGAGTTCACTGGCATGCAAAAGATTATTCCATGTCAAAGTGTGTTAAAGTGTGCTAAAAATATTTTTTGTTAATTAAAGTAATCATGTAAATGTTTGCAGAAATTAATAGTTAAATTTAAAAAAAGCTTAGCATGAAATCTATTATAACAACATTACTACTATGCATTTGGAACACTGATGTATAATTTGTAAATAAATTTATATTACAGTCAAAAGTCTTTAATCCGCACTCATCAGGACTTCTGCGATTCTGGATTAGGGGTTTTTCCAGATTATAGATCATCAATTTAAATTTGGTAAGATGGTATGCAGAAATTATAAAATTAAAAAATATGAAACAATAATTTATGAAATGAAGAGCAGTTATGATCTAAAGGGTATCAAAACTTACCAAAAAAAAAAAAAAAAAAAAAAGCTTAATATTTATTTGCTTACTTTATTAAACATTTCTTTCGAGGCGCGCATGCGTAAAGCATACATTATGCATAGTCGAAATTAGAAAATTGCTACAGGAAAACTATTTGATGTGTATTCGTGATATTTATAATGACGAGGAATTTGATTTAAATCATATCAAAGACGGTGTACATCGAGATGAAATACTTCATTTAATAAGGAATTATAAGCCGAATAAAATAAAAACATCTGCCCTGAAGATAAGGATAGTGCTGACAGATCAACTTCCAGTTCATTGCTTGCTGCGACGTCGCCCCCCCCCCCTGCAGAGCAGCGCAAAATTGATAAATAGATTTCGGAATGGTTAGAGAAACAAAGAATATGCCTTTATCCATTTTTTACAGCAATTCCACTTTTTGCTTGATGGACATCAAACATTCTTTCCCTTTGTAGATCCTTTGGCAGCTCCAGAATCGAAAATTCTTTTTGACATAATCGGAAGTTCAAGCTTACTTTTATAAAATTGCTCTAACAATCTGCAAAAAAATAAGCCGGATCCAATTAGAAGATTAAGGAACAACACAATGTGCAACATTAACTGAAATAGATAATTAGATAATTTTTAGCTTAGCTTATACCATCCATTATACATTAAATGTGCATGCGTGAACGTATTATGCACATGCGTAAATGCATATGCGCATGCGTAAAGGTATTATGCGTTTATGCATGCGCAGAATGTTTGTAGCTTTGAGGCCCAGATTATAGATCATTCCGGATTATGGACGTCCAGATTAAAGACTTTTAACTGTATTATGCTAAGAAGCTTTTTCTAAAATTATTTAGAAGAGAAGAATGAGATAAACAGTATTGCAAATTAATTTAGTCAATCAGGCATCTCAATAAATAAAAGTGTATTTTTTAACCAAAAATTAAAAATCGGGATGCTATAGTTTGTGTAATATACTCGGAAATATCTGAACATATAATTAATTCGAAATGTATAATTAAATTAATAAGAAGCTAATTAACATTAAGCTTAATTTCATTCAATCTAAAACAAGCAATCGATCAGGAGCTCCACGTAACTGAAGTTTTATTGATATTTTACGTAGATTTGCATATAAAATAAATATTTGAAACAAGTGAATAACGTACTGATGGTCAACAGGAATTAAAATGCAGTAATTAAAAATATAACTACTTGTCAAAAGGTATGCAAAGTTACCATGGCTAGAGAAATTGAATGATTATAAAAAACTCACAAAGTTAAGCGCTACAGTGTGAAAAGAAAATTCTGGAATAAACATGTTAAGAAAATTAGATGCAGAAATAATCCTTAATTTATTGATATCCATATAAACTCTATGCTTTTGGAAAAAGTTACATATAATTTGCACCGAGGAATCATTCACCGAAAACGAGTTAATTTCTTTCCTTATTTTTTCTTATTAGAGGGATTTGTAAAAAGGTATGCCAAGGTGAAAATGTTTGCAATATTTTTAAAGAATAAATTTAAAAAGTGCTTTTACTTCATGAACTGAAATTTTTATGATACATTTTTACGTAGTAAATAAGTACCAAAAAATAATTGCTGGGAGATCTCTGGGATTAGAAACTCAGGTCGAACTACTAATGTTTAATGACTTTTCCGCTTGATCATAAGACCTTTTGAAATTATGCTGAACAATATATATTATGGAAAATAGAAGATACAGCACAGATAAGAACAAAAGTGGGCTGAATTAGAGATTTACATGTTTGGTGAATGAGTTAAACTTATCTGTATGCCATTATGAAATATTAGGAATGTAGCATAAAAGCATCAGTGAAGAAGGCAATGGCAATCTAAATCATTGTAATCTAAATGTACAACATTATTAGTATATGCTATTAATTTCAATACTGCTGAAAAATTATAAATGAATTATATTATAAATCACATGAGCTCGTTGCATTATAAATTACAACAGTTAGAAATATTATTAGCATGATTTAGCGACCATCTTTGTTGACATATAATTTCAAATAATTAATTTTACAAATAATTCAGCCTGAAACTAGGTTAGAAAATAAGCTGCATGCTGAGGTTTAAGCTTTACCAAAGTGTTAAAAACATCTTCTGTTAACTAGAGTTATGATGCAAGAATTTGTAAAAATTATCATTTAAATATAAATTTGCATAAATACAATATAAAATATATAAATTCAGCATACATAAAAAATTGAATACACTGAAACAATATGTGAAAAAGGAATGGATTAAAAGGGAACTGAAAATCCCAAGATATTAATATAAGGGAGTTCAAATTTTTTTTTCTTAATTATGGAAAATTCTGCAGATGCTCATAATTATCAATTTTTAAATTAAATGTGTATTTAAAATGTATGTCAAAGTACATCAGATAGAGTAACTGGAGAATAGAGTAAATATTTAAACGTTTCTAGTATTAAAATATGGAATTTGTAAGAAAGTTAAATAACCTTAAAATAACTTCGATGACTAAAAAGGGAAAGCTTAATATGGCATGTATTGCAATAATATTAGTGTGAATTTAGAACCACTTAAGAAATCCAATTTTTAGAATAAAGAGAATTTTTCAAATTAAATTAGAACTGTTTACCTAAAATGGTAAATTTGAAAGTTAAAACCATTCTGCTATCTAAGAAAATTTTTTAATATTTATCTAGACAAGCAAAAACTTATTTAAGTTGCTGTACAAATCCAATATTTGATAGATTGATTATGTATCTGTTTTATGTATGTCACTATCGATCAGTTTTATTATTCAAAACTGATATATCATATATATCAGCAGCTAAAATCTATAATTTGGAAAGTTTTTAATTCTTACAGAGAATAAAAAAAAATCTGCCTCATTATTCTTTTAAGCATCATAAATCTTTAAAATGAGTGTAAAAGAAATTCATTTTTACTTTAGCACACGCCAGATTTTAAACTAGTATTTGTTTTGTATACACAATTTTTGCAATATTGATAAACAAAATTAGAGGCTTGCAATCTCAATAAAATGCCCCATTAATGGCAATAAATGAGAGAAATGGAAACTTAACGCAAAAATGCCTCATTAATGGCAATAAATTGTAACACCCATCTTCTTGGGAATTCAAGTTCTTAGAAAGAGAAAACAGGAAAACGTCGCGCAGTTCGTGAATTATATAAGAGGGGGGAGGGATCTTTGATCAAATTTCGCGCAGTTCGTACCCTACCAATTTCTGTATGCCATCTTACCAGATTTAAAGTGATGATCTATAATTTGGAAAGACTCCTAATCCGGAATTGTCAAAGTCTCAACGAGTCCGAATTATGGACTTTGTACTGTATAAGAAATAGCATGGAACTGTATCTTTTTCCATACCATTCAAACATCCATAGCAGTGTACATGTCTTTGGCATGTTTGAAAACTGGAGTCATGAAATTCAGCATAGTATTAGGTAAAATTTCTTGCTCACAGTTGCCAGATAAGTTATTCAATGATAAAATATAAAAAGATTATGGCATATTAAAATTTTAACTGTGATAATTTAAAAATAATTGCTATTTTATTTATAGACTTGAGTTATATTTAACAGAATTGTTTAATATTGGCTTTGATTATATACAGTTACGTTCAACTCATGTAAAGAAATGTGGAAAATCTCGTGGGCTTACTGTTCAAAGTGTGGTGAAAGCTCTGCAACTACAAGAAAAGCACGCTTTGGAAAGAAAGATGCTGGGCCTTCCTTTGAAGCCCATGAAGTAATTACGCTTAAATTAGTCTGAACTTAATGTTGATTTATATGTAACTAGACAAAAATTTCAATTTGGTTTGAAATCTAATATCAAAAGAAAATCTAATATTGCTTTAATTTGAATCTTTAATGATCTTTGTATCACATTTGTACTTATATTTTTTATGATAATACATTCATTTATTTATTGTTTTGTTTTTTAACGTCTTGTTAACTAAACTTATGCAATGTCTGCACCTTGATTTTCAGCAAGAAATATGCAGGAAAAAATTAGTTTATGTTAATCCACGTTAGCATTTTTATAATTTTTTTTCATATGGAGTTATTTTTTGAGGGCAGTGGGGGAAAAAATGTGAATGGAATATGATTTTGTTGTAGTCTGCGTATAATCTAAGGAAATTGTGAAAGTATTAGGATATCATTTGAAAATAATTAAAATAACAGGAATATTAAATGTAAGAGATGGATTTGAAAATAATTTACTAGTAAGGAAAACATTTTCATTTGTGATTGGGCAAGAAAGCATCGAAGCAGATAGTTTGTTGGAAGATGAATGATATTAAAACAAGAACTGCTGTCATATTCATTCTTAAACAGAGTCTGTTTGTGTGCTTTGGTAATAAAATAAACTGTAAAATCTGTTTTGAGAGAGAATGTTTAAAAAGAATTATTAAAAAATGCTGTTGAGTGTATATGTTTCATATCTGTTTTGAAAAAAAAAAAAAAAAAAAAGCCTCAAAGTGTCTCCCCCCCAGTTCTAAAAGAATTATCTGATAATATTTCCCCCTTCCCTTCAAATACGTTTTGTCTTGACTTTCTATAGGAAACTAAGTGCAATACTTCAAACCCGAAAATTGAATGAAATCTGTAGCCCTTTGCATTGAAATTTTGGGTAAAAGGTGCAAACTTTTCCCAAGCGTGTACAATAGTGCTGTATTGTGGCCTATTTCTGAATATGCTGTAGAGACATTAGGTAATTTTGAGGCTGGAGAGATGAAAAATCAGCAACCGTCTTCGCTGGGAATTGAACCACATACCTCTGGAATACCGGCCCAGTGTGCAGACCATCACACCACGAAGGCACGCCAAGAAGGTAAGAGAAATACCTTATAATGCATTTCCTACCTAAAAGTCATTAACAACTTTCCCAAGTTATTGAGTTCACTTCAAAGATTGATTAGTATTACAGTCACTCTTATAATTCATTGAGGTTATAGGATAAAGTTTTGTCAACATCTGAACTAAGATTTCTTTTATTTCCTTTATATTTACATGAAGGCAATTAAAGAATATAAATAACTGATATATATATATATATATATACACACATAGTATATGCATCCTTTGCCATTAAAGTTCCAGGACAGAGCTTATAAAAAATAGAAAATTGCATTTACCAAGTAATGATCCTAACTTCTATCAAAGTAGTTCCCCTTAGCCATCTATACACATATATGAAGGTCTTGGAAGCAAACAGGGAAATCTTCACCTATGATGCTTGCAAGCTCATTTGTCACAGCTCGATAGATATCTGCATAATCTTAATGAAGCTTTCCTTTCAGTCACCTTTTCATTAGTGGAAACAAGAAAAAAAAATCACAGTAATCTTTGACACAAATGTTGGATCACGTCTAGCTCTGTCCAATAGTTTAGCCGAAATTCTTTGTCTTTTCTCTTTCTGTTCATCTGTTAGTGAGTGAGGGACAATTTTTGCGTTAAGTTTCCATTTCCCTAAATCTTTGCGTAAAATCTTATGACGCACATCACAATTCAAATTCAGATATCATATGCACAATTACACCACGGTCTTCTTGTAATAACTTCCTTACATGTTCCACATTTGCATCGGTATATGCTATAGACAGACAACCAGCTCTGGGATCATCTTGCACTGTTGAGTGGCACAAAATGTTTTGTGCTACTAAAAAAAAACATGACTTCTTAAAAGTGCCTCACCTGGACATACTTGCTTAATCACGTTTCACTAGGTGTTTTCCCAAGCTGAACGCAGAACTTAATGTTCACTTTTTGCTCACAATCAGCATCCATTGTGTCACCATAATGAATGTGACAACAATCCGAACAATGTGTTACTAAGCACAGCTCTACCATCTAGTAAGTTTGCATGAAAACATGGCCAAAGACATATCAATTAGGAATACATAACAAATAACTTAAAAACAACATTTGTACTGCAGATACAGATAATACTGGAGACTCAGAAATAAAGAAAATTATCATGGAACTTTTCTGACAAAGGACATATTTTCTGTTAAATGGTGCGTCTGAAATTGTGCTCCAGATGTGGTAGCATATATATTGCATCAAAAGTAGTTATGCAGTGATATTTTAACAGAGAATATGTTTGAAAGCCACACACTCTGTCAAAAGAAGAAAAAAAAAAAAAAAAAAAAAAGGCTAATCATTTAATCAACTGTAATTTCTTGTTGTAATGAAATAATGCAAAAGCATTTCATGATTTATGGCGTCTGGAAATGAGAAATGAATACATTTTGACAATTTCAAACACAAAAAATAATGGCTGTTTCCAGTCAATCCAAAATTAAATTGTGGAAGAAGTCAAAAATGGGATTTTTTTAATCAAAAACCATCTTTGTTCAACAGATGCAGAATCGAAAATTTGCTTGCTAGTTAGTAAAAAATCATTGATAATGATGATGAGAAATGCGCCATTGCTTTCTGGTCCCCTTTATACTTTTAATTATTAATTGATGTTCAATCATCAAAAGCTTTTGAATAGTTTAATCAAGTAATGTTTAGATATTCATCACTACTCTGAAATGCTGCAGTTATTCCACAGCAGGTGTCAGGATAAGTTTTATGTTGCTATTTTTTACAGTTAGAATATTTTGTCATCTAAGTTAATTTTCATAATCTCATGATGATGATGTCTTATCTTGCATTTTTGTGAGTAATATCTTTATTGACACTAATTTCACAGTTTCTTTTTCAGTTGAATTTTCTTTTAATTCAAACTGGCAAAGTAATGAGAGATGCCAGATATTTTTACCTAGTTTAGTAATCTCACACCTTTCAGTTTCAGCAAAGGCTGAAATCCGTTTCATCATACAGGACTTTTCTGTCCAGTTATGTCAAGTATGAGATGAGTATTTGTGAAGTGTTTATGGCAGTCTTCTTACTTTCCCTCAATATGATCATTTTGAATTATTATGCCATTTATTTTTGTGGTCAGTAAAATGTATATGTTTATGCGTGAATTGCAGAAATTCCCACTAATAATTTAAGAGTGCTTCTCACTTAAATTTTCTGCTGTTCTCTCATTGTACAATTTGGGAAATATACCAAGAACTTTGTTAATTCATGTATATGCGAACAAAATATTATATATACACATTACCTTTTGATATATGTATGTGTAAAGAGAGAGAGAGAATCATTCATATAATATCTTAAAGAGATTTAGTTACTTCTTATATTATTTCAAAAAAAAAACAGGGTGCACAGAAATCATCATTAAATACTTTAATTTATTTATGCTAAAGTATAATGCTTAATCTTTGTAAAAATCAATAAGCATGTTAATAGTAAATAAAGTTCTATAGAGACATTAGTTAGATTTTAGATATGGACCTCACTGATCATTGGAAAAAAAAATAATAATAATGTCTTCGAATTCATTTTATGTAATTTAAGAGCAACTCACAACAGCTATCTCCATAAATTGTTTAGCTAAATATTAAGAAAAATAAAGTAATACTTTTCTCCTTCTGCCTTCTCCTTTGCTTTATAATTTAGTAACTTAAAATATATTACACTTTTTTTTTTTTTTTTTTTTTTTGTGTGTGTGTGTGTGTGTGTGTGTGTTATATATTTTCTTTTATTTTAGGCAAGCAAAACAGCAGAAGAAACCTGTTATCAAAAGGCTCATAGAACCTAAAAAGTAAGCAACTGATATGATCCAAAACCAATTTTAAGTTAATATTAATTGTAAATTTAAGTTATGTATATTTATAACCATTGAAATGAACTGTGACAGCCCTGTGGTGAAGTGGCTAGCGCATCACGCAGCTGCACCACAGATCCAGGGTTCGATCCCCGTCCTGAGCAAGGTTGACTCAGTCTTTCATCCCTTGAGTGGGTCGACAAAATAAGTACCAAGTTTCTTTTGGGGACTAAACACCGAGGGTCCTGCGACAAGCTGACCACTTACCCAGGGCATAATCCTGATGTACTCTGGGCCCAAAGATCAAGAAAGCAGAAAAAAGGCACTGCAGGCTGTGACCCACGAAGTCTGTTGCGCCATTTAGTTAAAAATGAACTGTATTATTTGCAAGAAATTGTATTGGAGATGAGAGAAATGGTATCGATTTTTCATTAGAGTGTTTCATAAGTCCCTGTATTGCTGATGGTTTAAAACTATACTTCATTGTGAAAAGTCATGAATCACCAGGCTGAAGGAATGATTTTAATTCTGAGAATTAAAAAAAAAAATATATTTTTTAATTTACGTTTTACGTCATTCAGTGGAAAGCTATTTATTTCAAATATTCTGTCTTATTGACAGTGTACCTTCACACTGATCAAGGTGTGTACATAAATTTCTGGTTCTGAAACATTCAAAAATTAGTTTGTAACATTCTTTAGTTGTGTATTTCTCCAGATTTGTTCCCTCAAGACTGTTTTTTCTTCCCAAAACAATACTTTCTCTGGGATATCTTATCTTCATCTGACACTGAAGAAGACATCTGATGCTGGAGAACTGTGACAGCAATTTTTCGTACCTTGCTAGAAACAAGCATGATCCAAAAAAACTTAAAACATCCACTTTTCAATCAGTTGCAGGAACGGTTCTATACAAATTTCCTTTTATTATCTGATTATTTCCTTGCTTACATAATGTAGGAGGATTTTATTTTAGCTATATGCATCAGTGTTGGTTATCAGGCTTTATAGTAAAAGGGGGGGAATCATTTAATTACCTTACTGGGTATTATTGTGCATTTAATTTGTGCCACATTTTATTGCAATTTTGAGCTTATTTGTTATGTACAATTATTATTTTTGTGTATTTAATTTTTATTATTTTTTTTATTTGTAAGCCTGTGTAAACACACATTGTAATTATGAAAACAGCTCAAGTAGAAATTTAAGTATATACTATTCAAGATTATTGGACCTAATTGAAAAATTCTACCAGAGAAGTTGATGATATCCAAGAGTTCTCTGCCAATTTAGGAACATTTTGAAAATTTTAAAAGCCTAGTGCTGATTTCACAGAATATTTTATCTGTGTTGATACTTGATGCCCACTTCTCCATATCGGTTTTTTTTTTTTTTTTTTTTTTTTTTTTTTTTAAGAGTTTTTCTTCAGTTATAAAAATTCTGAATATAAAATATAAAAACGATTTTATATTTATACAGGAGCTTTTTGACTGTAGACTGTGTGGATAATCAGGCATACAGATACATATGACATTCTGTAATTTTGTGAAGCTGTAGGCAAATGGTGTAAATTAAAAATAAGCACAAATAATGCAAATGGAGCAAGTGTTGCCATCTAGTGACACTAAAGAAAAGTTTGTCCATCCCATCTGGTTTGTATTAATTCCATAGATGGCCTGAAAGACATGAAGTTTTGTTCAAGCTAGAAATTCTTTTCTTCTTGATGCAGTAGTTGAAGATTTCTTCTAAAGCTTCTATCTTGATTGCAAGATCTAGTTTCTAGTTGCAAGATCTAGATCTTGTTGTTTTAGCAGTTTTGTAGTCTTACATAACATTCAGGATTTTCTTAACTGCTGCAAGATTCTTTTTTCATGAATAAGTGATGATAATTTTCTGAATAAAGTGATGATGATTTCATGAGTAAGTGAAGTAAGTGATGATGATGTTTCTGCTTTCTTAGTGAGTGCATCGCAGTAGTTTCTTTTTATGGGAATTTCGTTTCCTGCCTGCTTTTCGATGCTTACTAGAGAAAGTAAATTCAACTTTTAAAACTTTGTTTGAAATTGTTTCTGTAACACTAGTTCAGAATTCCGCTGATTGAATCTTTGTTGTTGTCATAGCTCACATTTTTTGTATTCTTTATAACCTGTGTAGGATACAGGATGTTGCATGCTTAAAAAAAGTGTTTCTCATTGGGGCCTAGCTTGCAGTGTAAATTTCTCACTTAACACACCTCAGCTTATTAAGCAGAGGTGTTGTGAATGTCCATATTTAAGATGCCTAAAGCACTGAGTTGGTTTACTTGATGGTGAGTATTTCACTACATTAACAAAGATGCTCATAAATGTATTGCAGGTGATAAATTTGCCTTCTGAGGTTGGCAATAAACTGAATGTGGTAAGATTTCTTTGTACTTGATGCATAAAATAATAATAATAACTTTCAGTGCATGAATTTTTTTTTAATAATTCTTGTAAAAAAGCTTCTTATGGAATGTTGTTGATAAGGTTTCTCATGATTACACTGATGTTTCTTTTTGACAAAAGTATATAGGTATGATATGGTGCATTGCTTTCTAGGAGAACTTATAAAAAAAAAAATAGCCTTTCTGTAACTTACTTCATCATCTACATAGATGTGGTTGGTTGTTCATGACAACTGATTTCAGTTGTGTTAGCACAGATGGAGATAAGTGCAGTTCTTAATTGTGGCCAGTTTACATTTGCAGGTAGAACTGTAGGTGGGATCTTTTCTTTTTCTGCACTCTTGGTGGTTTTATCATCTCTTCTTTTGCCAGTATTTGGTTTCTGCAACTTGTTGATATTATTAATAATTATATCTTCATCATTAGCATTCATATCTGTATTTTCATCTTCTTAAGAGAAGGAATCATACAGATTTGTTTGTGTCTTCATAGGCTGTAGCTGCAGGATTTTCAATAACTTTTGCTGTTTTAGCAGGTTTATCTATTTCTGGTTACTCTCACAGTTGTCTTTAGTTTGTATGCTAGTTTCAGCGTGATGCTTTTTAAGCTGCAAAGTCAGTATACATTTCTTCAGTGGTGTCAGCCCAAGTACTTCCATTTCCATTTTCTGTGGCTGTCTTTTGCTTTATATGAGTGAACTTTTTCATATTTCCAATTTTTGGACTTGATTTCATAAATTCTAATTTCCTTCTAGTACTTCTTTCTTCCATTTTCCTTTGTTTTTTTTCTCATGTGTGTAGGTAGAGATTTTTTTGGAAAAATCTATCTTGCTAACTGGGGTGAAAGATTTTTCTTCTGATTCATTATCATTTGAAATTTTCCAAAATTTTTTATCTTGTTAGAAGTACCATGTAGAGGTTTTGCTAATTCTGAGTCCTTCGTCCATCTCAAATTCCAGTCTTGTCGTACAGAAAGAGTTCTTTCCTAATCACAGGTTTAGACATCAACTCGAAGTGACTCGAGTCATGTTATTCAGGAATTTTGGAAGTTCCTGTTACTGAGCATTCTCCATAGAAAGCCTCATCAGTTCATCCTTTCTATATGGATTTCATCTTTTGTATCCATCTTTGTTCTTGGCTTCCCAAGAGGAACCCATCCCATTGTAAAACACAAAAATTTGATTCAAAATTCAAATTGTTCTGGAAGAGGCATTTGCTACTTGGATTTTAGAGCCTCCTATGAGCCATTAGCATACAACAGTGTATGGGTAATTTTTTGCAGTTAATTGTTTATAATATTTTCAGTATTTAATCATTAACTACAAAAATTCTTTTAAGGATTTTATTCAGTATATTATAATTTTTTTCTAAATTCTGCTAGGCATCTTTTTCAGTAATTATTTACCATTAATTGTTATGTTTATTTAGACATGTACTTATTACACTATTTTTTGTGGAAATTCTTGTCAGCATTGTTCACAAATTTTTAACATCTTGTGTCCTTATTTATAAGTGGGGTATTAATTAAATTATATCTTTTCTGCACAAAGAAGAGAAATTCCAGTTTGTACTTCCAAAATTGTTTTTTGTATCAAACATAATTTTCAATATTTGTTATATATTTAAAATTTTTGTAATTAAAATTTTTTATTTTCATTCTTGGACATACTATTTGCATTCCTCTGTTGCAAAACATAAACATGACATATTTGCTTTATACTATATTTTAGATTTCTGTCATATAGTGTTATATCATAATTCTCTTCAGCTTTCTAAAAATTCAAGTTCAAAATAAAATGAAAAAATAATTTGTATTTTAAAAGCATTTAAATTAAGGCTACATTATGTTAATTAAGTTCTTCTTTTCAGTGAACAACAATCTGACATACAGTTAGCTAAGGCATTATCTTTGTCATTGGACGAAGAAAACAAAAAGCAGCATAAACCTTGCAAAGAGGATATTATTCCATTAACAGCTGTATTAAAAGCACCTGATGATTCTCAAAATCCTGGGAGAAAGGCAAACAAATGCAATCGAATTGTGTAAGTTTATGTAAAATGTAAAGAAGGAATTGATTTCTAAAACCACGAAGAACAAAAGCATAAAATAATGTAATATCTTGAAACTAACTGTATAATTTAATTAAAAGTAAATTTATGTGAATGTATATACCAGGGGTGGCCAAACTTAATGATGATAGGAGCCACATTGTTGAGTTCATTAAATTTTTAGACCCTCAAATTCCAATTTACATTATTTGAAAAATAATGAGACAGGTTTTTGAATAGGAAAAAAAAATCTTTAAGGTAAATTAATGAGAATTTTCCTTTTTTATATAATAATTATGGTTATAAATAAATAGACCTTATTTCTCTTGATCTGCATTTAGAAAAGTATGTTCCAACAAAATATAAATGTAAAGTTATTGTATGATTTAGCTTATTATTTCAGGTATGAAATCAAACATTTTCTTTCAGTTTATATTATCCCCTTCCATTTATAACGGAGTTTAGTGGAAATAAACTGATATCAGAAGAATATATGTTTGTCTTTGTGAATAAAATAACATAAGAAGTTTTTCACTTAACTAAAGAATAAATCTCTAGTTTTAAAAACAGATTGAATAATTTTAATTTCTTTTAAATGAATATGCACTTTTTTAGAAAGAATAAAATAATCAACACTGGACAGCATACACTGTAGAGAAACTGTTACTTGATAAAGGAAAATTATTTTAAAATAAGCTATGAACATTTTTACCTTTTCCCACATAAATAACATGAGCACTAACATACTGAGATCAAATCTAATTCTAAATAGATGGATTAATTCATTAATTAGTTGCAAATAGGATTTTAAAACACATTTGTTTTTTCTAATATTCAGATCATCAGATCACAAGAATCTTCAGAAGAATTATAAATTCCAAATGTCAAATCTTAGAACTTTCTTCATCATTCGAAAATTTTAAATCCTAACCCTAAAAAATATTTTTCATAAAAAAGAATGCGATTGCAATGTTAACAGTATCCAAATCATCAGTATAAGTCGTGATCGTCCTAAGTGCTGTGTTGTTTTAATATGACATCTAGTAAAATCTGCCAAATTTTTTAAATAATCAGTAAGCTACATGTCGTTAAAAATCCTTAAAACTAGCCTCCAATATTCTTGATAATTTTGGTCATAGATTACTAATAAATCTAGTAACTCACATTGGAATATGTAAATGCTGCACATGCTCCAGTTGTCTATTAGTTGAACCTTTCAGTGATAGCTGTTGAATTTTGAAATGTTTTTCAAATAAAGGTTAATTCAAAATATTATATGTGGAAAACATATTTGTGAATACCATAATGACTTTATTTCACAAATACAGATATAATATGGAAGTTTAAATTTCTATACACATACATGTTTAAATTTCTATGCTCTATGTGGAAGCCCAATAACGCAGCATGTACATGGTTCTTGCTGAAGTTCTTACTACACAGGTGTATGCTGCCACCTTATTTTAACTGTTAACTGTAGTCCAGTAAAGACAGTCAGCTTATCGCCGTTTCTTAAAATTCTAAGCAAAATAACGTAGAATAAAATTTTAAATAAATCTTTCTTATTTAATCATCAGCCTGGTGGTTACATAACCTGTGGACAGAAAATAAATCTCCACAGCTTGCAGTAAAAAACAATGGTTAAACTAAAATTCAAGTATTAAATTATAAGATGAAGATAAAATAAGCAACACAGTTACTGGATGTAGTAATAGCTAAGACAATTAGGAATTTAGAGCCTCCCTCTTGAACTCTGTGCTTAAACATAGTTTGCTCCTTGGTGGGAGGCAAAAGTGAAAGTAAAGGCAAAATAATAAAATATTTGGTAAAACCCTTTGTAGGTGACAACTCAGATTGGTAAGTTGGGTCTCTTATGACCACTGCTCTACTTATTTTAAGCCTTGTAAAAGTGAGGGAAAGAACACCTTTGTCCCTCTTATACCCCCAAGAAAAAACCAGCAAGGCTGAAAAAAGTATTTTAAACACATTGGTGAAAGCACATAAAATGTTTACCAGCTGAAAATTTAGTACATATTTCAATACAGCAAGTGGGTTTTTAGGTTCACTCTTCTACAAAAATGAAACAAGGCTTCATTAGTGTGCAGTTTCATCAATGAACTTTATCAGTCTGTCCATGAAGTCATCTAATTGCAGGTATAGGCTGAACTGTCACCATTTGGCTTGTCTGTAGGTTTAAGTTAGTTAGGTTAAGCAAGGTTATTTGAATATTGCCATGAGTCCTATCTGTCTGAGAGGAGGTAGGCCTTTGTGAAGAACCTTTTGAGGAGAACTGAGTTGTATTTATGTCACATGTGAGAAAAAACCAACCATGCATCCAGCCCATTTGCCTGAGATGGAACCTAAACCAGGTCAAACTACCAATTCTTAACCGCTCGGCCACTGGTGGGGCATCAAATATGCAATATTTGAACTTCAGGAGTTTATGTAGCACATACCACAATTTTCCTTATGCCACATTTATGTATCTGTTGACATGACCCACTGACTTCTTGGGGATTCGAGGCTAAATTGCTTAAGTGTTTTCTGTCCTTTTATTATTGGTCTGTGATTTGCATAAGCAAGCATTTTCTTAAACTGTTTCATCCATTTAGAATGCTGAAGTCCTTCTTTAGCAAATATGATCCAGAAATGTGTCTGAACATCAGCCTCAAATGAAGTTTTTGTATGTATTAGCACCCAACAATTCTTTAGTTTAATCATTTTGAATATCATTGCCTCTAGTGAGTTTTTCAGTGTTGTCAATTGAAAGCTAGAGAGTTAACCTTTCATTTAATACCTGTATCTGTAATATAAATTTTTTATAAAAGTCGCAAGTATGTTTTTATTTTGTAATCATTTATTTTGAATTTCCCAATATATTTGTCAAATTATGTAGAGAAAATTCATCTCAAGATTCAGAGTTTATGTATATACTTAGCTAAATTTCATGTGTATCTTTATTATAAATATAGGTGTATTTTTAAAAATTGTATCTTTAATTTATTTTTCCTAAATGCAGATTTGCTTAGTTAATTTTAATATTAAAACATCTGTCCATAGCCCTCAAAACCAACATCTCTAAGCTAACTGCTTTGTGCAACTGAAAGGCAGAATCAATGAGAGAGTAATTCATGTATAGGAAAATTTGTTTTTACATTCCTACTGTAATTTCTCACAGAATGTGCTTTTCAGATAGCTATCTTATTCAGTATATTACTAATCATAGATGTTTTCCAATGTATTATGGAAGATTTAATATAAATGTATTACAGGAAATCCTATATTAATCCCCTATTGGCGAGACAGGTTGCATACATTTGTGTTATTTGAAGCTGAAGGTTTGAGGCAAAAGTAAGTCTTTATTTGAGTTCTCTAGAGAACAACATTTTGAAGTGGCAAGTGTTTGGAATGAAGTCGGTGACTAGAAAATGAAAGATTATGCTTCAAAACTAAAAGTTTATGCCTAAAGAAAGCTAAATTCCAAGAAAGTACATTGATGATGATGATGTCGTGTCTATGACAAAGTGAAATTATATAGCTCCGAAGCTGTCAAAGACAGCTTTTGCAACCTCGGCAGCTCTATGCATATAAAGTAGGTACACTGGTTCTTCAATGCCGAAGTTAAACAGTCTGGCCTGGATTGCGGGGCAGCTGAACATGTGATGGCGCGACAGTGGGATGTCATCTGGGTAATGAAGACAAATGTTGGTGTAACTATGCTGCTCGTCTGCAGAAATCCTCATCCCTTTTAAGTGATTTGTCCTAAGTCTGGTTATGATAGTCGATATGGCTCTGTCACAGTTCAATTCCGGGATGGAGTTTCCCTTAACTTGACCGATTAGTCTTTGGCTGGCAACTGCATTGGCATCAACAAGGGTTAGGCAATTGGATGGCTGAGGATAATCACGGGATGCCATTGCAAGCTCATCGGTCTTCTCATTACCAAAAATATTTACATGAGCCGGTATCCATTGTTAGATGCAAGATCTTTAAATTTTTTGTAATCAGGCAGTGGATCATAGTGCAATGTTCTGTTGGATCCCTAAGCTTTCGTTAAAGACGTGTTAGACATACAAGATGACTGAAGATTATTGAGATTAAAAACATAGTGATGGCATCAGAACTGGGGCAACCACTGCAGCTGCACTGGGTGATGGAATAAAAAATTTCAGAGGTACCAGACGAGAAAAAGGCCGAGTATCAGTCCTAATCTAATGCACTATTTGTTGCAGGCTAGAAAGGAGAAGTTCATCAAATAAAATGCTTGAAAATATTATAAACTAAAGAGAGTTAACCATCATTTAATATGTCATATATTGAGAGACATTTTGTAGAAGATAGAAGTTTGTATCCAGTTGGGTGTTCATGTCTTGATGCAGTGTAATTCTAATAAAAATTTGATGATGAAAGTAATAAATTGCTGTTTTAAATAATGGCAACTGGTGAAACCAGAACCAAATCATTGCCAATCAAATGAAGAAGTCCATTCTCCCTATTTAAAATTTCAACATTCGCGAAATCAGTGGGAATCTTTGCCTACAATTACCAAGGGAATTATGACAAAAGATAGAGTTTCATATGGAAAAATTGGAACTGTAATGTATTACTATGAATGGTTGTGAAAATTTTGAAGAAAATTGCATAAAAATTACCTGAATTGTTTAGGGTTGGAGAATTAGTTTTGAAGGACACTTGCAGGTGAGAAAGTTGTGACAGGTCTTCTAAACAAGTGTGAGACGGAATGCTTACCTCACCAACTGTAAAATTCCGAGATGTTAAATCCATTCCCGAACTGAAAAAGTGCATGCGTGGACAGCGATTTTCCTCCTTAAAAGAGGTTTCTTCAGCAGTTATCCAAGCCATTCACAGACTGAATGAAAGTCGTACTCTTGAAGGAATTATAAATCTTCCAAGACTTTGGATTGCAGCTGTGGTTTTGAAGTAAGAGGATTACACTCAGGAAATGTAAACAGATATTGCTTGAAATAAAATTA